ACACACACACACACACGCTCACACACGCTCACACACACACACACACGCTCACACACGCTCACACACACACACACGCTCACACACACACACACACACGCTCACACGCTCACACACACACACACACTCACTCAACCCAGTGTTCGCACGCATACACAAGGCCCTCACCTTCAGCGCAGCTACAAGGTGCTCCACCAAACCGCTCTGTGATGAGGTTGTGCTGTGGAAAGCGAGGCAGCACCCAATACACCGTGTAGCTGGTGTTGTGTCGAAAGGGCATCACATGGAGTTGCCAGAAGCATGGGAGTGAGGCATGGAAGCTGGCGAAGCGCACGACTGCGAGACCACGCATCGACAAGCGAGCAAGAGGGGCAAGTACGCGCAAGTACGTGTGCACAACAACACACACACATACGCACATACGCACACACACACATACGCACATACACTCACACTAGGTTGGCGATGGTGGTGTGGATGAGGAATCGGCGGGACTGGACACGGTACATGCGATGGAGGACCATGACAAGCAGCACCCACAAGCACGAGAGGATGCTGATGGAGGCGGAGACACTCAGTGCAGCTGCCAGCCCTGTCTGCACGCTGTCCTTGTAGGTCGAGTTGGGTGGTGGTCGCTCTGACACGCGGCCCTCATCCAAGCGGACAGGCTCATCTTGCCATCCTCTGCTGGCATCTTCGCTTTGTTCGTACCTTGTCCCTGCCGCCACTGTAGCTACTGTTGATGCTGCTATGATGGCGTACAGGATGCCCCACAGCAAGCAGCCTCTCCTCGCCCTCACCGCCACCACCCCACTGCCCTTCCCAACAGCGCGTCTCCTCCATGTCAATCGTCCAACCATGTGTGGATGTGTGTGTGGATGTGTGTGGTGAATGTGTGTCGTTTGGCAGCCGCTCGTCCAGTGGGGCGATCTATCTCCCGCTCTCCCTGAATGGTGAGCTTGGCTTGCCGAGTCGGAAGCTCCCTCGCTTGCCAGTTCAGCTCGCAGCTGTGCCTTCCGTGTGTGTTGTTCACACAGTCACACCAGCACCCTCCTCCAGCTCCAACAAAGACTTGCTGTGTTGTTGCTCTGCCTCAACGTCGTTTTTTTCTGCACACACACACACACACGTGCAAGAACGCAGGCAGGACTTCTTGTGCTCAGGCACATCACGCACGCAAACCGCACGCACGCAGTGCCTTGCAAGCAACGTTTCTTCTTCCTCCGCTTTCATTCTCTTCCTCGTCTTGCAGCCTCACCTGTCCTGGCTGCGACACAGTGTCTGCATCTTTGTCGACGACTAGTTAGGAAGGAAGCAAGGGGTACAGACAGGATGAAGAAGCAGGCGACACCGCTGCCTGTGCTGAAGGTGGCCATCATTAGCGCCGTCCTCTTTGCCAACCAGTACTCCGGCATGGTACGTGTGTGTGTGTGTGTGTGTGTGTGTGTGTGTGTGTGTGTGTGTGTGTGTGTGTGTGTGTGTGTGTGTGTGTGCGTGTGTGTGTGTGTGTGTGTGTGTGTGTGTGTGTGTGTGTGTGTGTGTGTGTGTGTGCGCGTGTGTGAAGCCGCGTGTATGAGTGCAAGCAGGAGTGTGTGTGTAAATAATAAGAGCGTGAGTGTATAAACAAGGTGAAGGGTAGAGCGCAAGCGGTCACGCG